AAAAGAAGAAGAATCAAGGAGGACTGCCTAGTTTTCGTGTGAGTGTCCAGAAGAATGAAGTGGCCATTTCCCAAGATGGGGAGGCCTATGTGAGCAGTAGTTTTGCGGGGGGGGGGGGGGGGGGGGGGGGGGGGGGGGGGGGGGGGGGGGGGGGGGGGGGGGGGGGGGGGGGGGGGGAGATCGAGAATTTGAGATTTGGACATGTCCATTTGACATCCAAGTAGAAAGTGTGAGTAGACAGATGGATATTTGAGTCTAGACTTCAGGGGAAAGGTCTAGGCTGAAGGCATAAATAACAGGAGGACTCAGTGACAATAGACAGTGTTTGAAGCTACAAGACTGGGTGAGATCACCACAGGCATAAGTCTATCAAGAAAGGAGAAAGAACTGATCAAACAGGACTGAGCCTCAGGCGCTCTAACCTTAAGCACTTGGGTGATGAGGGGGGGCGCGGCCAGAGGAGGGAAAGGAGCCGACGGAGCTGGGCACTCTGGGCGCCAAGGGAAGGAAGCATCCCAAGGAAGAGTAGGGGGTCAGGTATGCCAAATACTGCTCTCTCTCTGGTCAAGCAAGATGAGGACTAAGAATTGACCACTGTTATTAGCAATGTGTAGGCCGCTGGTTCCTATGTTAATGACAGTTTTGGAGGAGCAGTGGAGTGAAAGCCTGAATGGAGAGAATGGTTCAAGAGAGAACAGGAGAGGAATTGGAGACTGAAGGTATTGGTGAAAATTTCAAAAATTCTGTAGTAAGGCAAGCAGAGAATTGAGCTGGCTGAAGGGGTAATATGGATCAAGAGTGTAGTTGTTTTTAAGATGACAGAAATTACAACATGTTGGAAATAATCCCAAGGGGAAGAAACTTACGAGGTAGAAAGAAAAAGGGAGAATTTATGAAGTGATGTCCTTAGGCAGGCAAGAGGACACACAGTTAGTACTTAGTACTATTCTAATGAGCTTGCAGCCTTTAGAATAAAGATGCATTTCCAATATAATGATGCCCATTCTTCCCTGAGGTTGACTAAACCAGTGCTTCCAAACTGGCTAAACAGGAGAAGCACTGGAAAGGCAGGCAAGGCACTTTCCCTTTGGATGCTTTTATCATCACAAATCAGTGGCTATAAAATTGCTTTTTGTTATTAATGGTTTCATGATGGTACAGAAATAATCATTAATTCACTATTTAGTGCCTACTATATGCCAGTTCTAGGTGTTATTCTAGGTGCTGAGGGTAAAACAGTGAGAAAAATAATATCTAAAACATTTTAACTAGTTACATTACAAAGAGATCTACATGCACTTACTTAAAACAAAAATGTGCTTTGCTCGCCTCAATTGTGTCTTTATGCTTTGTGAAACCCTTGTTTCCCTAAGATTGATTTGATTAGTTTTATTATCAATGGTATCCCTAAGGCTGGTTTTGGAGTAGGAATCTGGGGCACTTTCTCGGTTATCTTCTTTGCCAGGTTTTACCACAAGAGGCTTTTCTAATATATTTATGTGGTCTTGAAATTTTGGTCACCTATAGATACATTAATAGGTGATCCCAACAGCCTTTTGAGAATTGCTCTTAATTTTCTTTTTGTTAGTCTTCTAATCTTACTTAAATGTAGTTATATTACTTCACAAAACCAGCTTGAGATCATTATAGTATTCAATTTCTCTTCCTTCAGTTTCTACAGTAGGAGTTCTACATGTGGAAAAATAAGGAGTATAGAATTGCTGAGGCTTCTTTTTACTACATTTATACCTGAAATTTCTGCCTTTTACTAAACAATACATTCTACCTTCCTGACCTTTTTAAAAGATCAACTGCCACTTTGAGAGCATTTATTCATTCCAGTCTTCTCTGCAGCCATCTTTTCAAGGTGTGTTTCTCTGATTTCCTGACAGTATACTTATTTCACAGGAAATATTCCTTTTAAAGAAGCACAAAGCCTCCTCTAAAGTTCTCTTTTAAATTCTTCATCATTCACGTTCACTAGATCTCCTACTAGTTAACTTCTTTATTTCAGTGTTAAATAACCTATAGTCTGTTATACTTGATTTTAGAATAGATATATTTTCCAAAATACATTCAGACTGTGTGTGTGTGCATGTGTGCATGCTTATATATTGACTGCATTTGTAAAGCATTTTATGTTTAGAGTAATTATATCAATTATATCATGTTCATTATTATAAATCTGAAACAGCATATCCTAAAAATTACCTCCCTGAAGTACTTGATTACACAGAGTAAAAAAGCCTGGTATAACACCTAGACTATAATACACGATTCCTTCCTGGCCTATAAAGTCAACTATCCCTAGTCCTTCCACAGGAATCTTCCTACTGCTGAATATGAGGAGGTTGGGCAGGCCAAGATTTGTAAGAATTCAGGAGTACTATTCATGTGCCTATATGTATGAAAAAGTTTATGTTCATGTCAATTAAATATATTCTCTGTTCAAAGTGCTTTGCAATTGTGGAATCCAAAAGGAAAACAAAATGGGTAATGCTGACAAGACAAATATTCCAAAACGAATGCAAATAGTAACTAAGCTTAAAGAAAACAAGGTTTTCATAAAAGCAGCAGATGAGAATTTCCAAAATATCCATTTACACATTTTTGACCAAAAATGAGTATAAAGATTTAAGTTCAAAGTTTAGAGAAATTAGAAATCCTTTTAAGAAAACAGTCATCTCTAACATGAACAAAGAGTATCAAAGTGTGTTAGATGAAGCTATTTGCTTCTCTGAAAAGAATATTTTGCATAAAATAAGGATATTGCCATAAAAGCAGAGAAATAACCTTGAAAATAAGGCCATTGAAAACACACTGCTTCTGTGGGCAACTTAACTGTCCATGCCTGTTTACTCTTATGCATCTGTGAAATAATGCACTTTGGCAGCACACAGAAAGCACGTAAGGAATGTTAGCTGGAGTTTTGTGTCTGTTTCCTCTGTCTAAGTCAGGTGACCACTAGTATCACCCATGTTTCCCTTACCCTCAATTCTGAGAAGATATTGCAGAACCTCTGAAGCTTTCTTGGTATTTGTAACTGCTCTGAAGAGTAGGTTGGAAGAGGTGAAAAGACTGTTTGGTTCCTAACAGTTTGAGCAAACAGAAGGTGTTTGACAGCTCTGGGCAATCTTAAGGGCTCTACCATGAAGGAAACAGTGCTTCTGACGACTTCAGAACATGAGTATGTTTTGCTCACTTAGTTTAGTGGCAAAATAACTGGGGCTTATGTAACGGACTGACTTGGCCAATGGTACTCACACCCCTATCACAACCCAGCAAAACCTCCCAACAGTGGCTAAGCATTAGTAACCTCCTTTGCCAGCGTGGGAGATGGGGTGAAAGGCTTCAGCAGCACAAGTTTTAAACGCAAACAAAAAATTCCTTTTTTAAAAATAGAAGGAAACAAAAATCCTTTCCTTTAGCAATGAAGTCAGCGCTTTTTTGTTGGTTGGTTGTCTGCAGAGACTTTAATGGTGGAGAAAAGGCTCAGAGGGCAAAGCTAGAGGTTTCAGCTGGTGGGCACTTCTTCCGACACCCTTCCACTCTTGCTCATTATCTTCTGCGACATAACGTCAGTCTACCACTTTCTACCTTTTTCTAAATAGTTTCTGCTAAGGCGCTGCCTTCAATTTTTGGAAAATGATTACAAATATATGGCGCTTACAGCACTAGCTAGAGGTTCCTCAAGCTGAACGGGCGGAAGGAAACGGTCGCGAAACACTGTGAACGACACTACTCAACGACAATAAAAACTGCTGTTGATTGGTGGTTAGGGGGAGTGTGAAATGGGCGAAGCTGGTCAGTAGGTACAAACTTCCAGTTATAAATCAGCCCAAGTGACATATTGTACAGCATGGTGACTACAGTTAATAATTCTGTATTGCAAATTTTAACGTTGCTAAGAGAGTAGTTCTAAGTCTCATCACAAGAAAAAAAATTAAAACTGTCAGGTGATGGATGTTGACTTATTGTGGTGCCCATTCATATACATAAATGATATATATCATGTTACACACCTGAAACATATAATGTTACTGTCAATTCTATCTCAAAAAAATTAAAACAAAAAACGTGCCACTGACTGAGCCCTCCCTCCGGGCCAGCCTCGTCCCGCGATGGCAGCCGGCCCTGGCTCACCCCGGGCGAGGGCGAATGGAGCAAACCCCAGGGGGGACCCCAAAAGACGCTCCTCTCGGAGCCAGGCATCCACGGGCCCCCTGCGGGCATCTCCGGCCGGCTCCCGGGCCAGCACCCAACAGGAAGCCCCGCGGGGAACTTTGGCCAGGAGGCGACCAGAGAAACCAGCTGGCCTCCGGACTGTGCAGTGACCACGCAGGGCAGCCAAAACCCTTTGGAGTCCTGGCAGCTTCCCGGGCTCGACTGAGCTTAACGCTCTAGGAGTGACACTCGGGCTGACGCTTCAGTCACCCAGCTACCTGCTGATCGGCCCCTTCACTCAGGGCTGAGGCCAGACGCGGCGGACCGTCGCCGCACCGTTCTCTCCCTTAGCCTTCCCCTCCTAAACTGCAGCCTCGAAGCGAGCTCAGCAGAAGGCCTCGCCCGCGGAGCGTCCCCACGCCTCTGCTTGCGCAGGCTCGACCCACAGGGGGCGATTGCCCGGCACCAGTGGGCCGCAGGGCCCCACGGACTCTGGCATCGCTGCTCCGCCCCGGAGTCTGGAGTTGCTTGGCGCCACCAGCGCGTCCCGGCCACTCGCAGCAAAGAGTTAACCGAGCGGGGCCCGCGCGCCGAGCCGCCAGCGAACCCCGCCCGGCGCGCCGGGCCCCAGCGCCGTGCTCCCGAGTCCGCGCCCCTCGGCCCGAGCCCCACTCTGCCCGGCCGTGGCCACCCAGCCTCTCCCGCCGACTCGGCCCCCGGGGCGCGCCCAGCACCGGGCTCCCCCGCCGCCCTCCGCCCTCGGCCAGTTGGGACCCGGTCGGGGACCCCCAGGCCCGCGCTTCCATCCCCGCTGCCGCCCAGGCAGTGCCCAGTACCGATGCCCTGGATGAAGACGAGGCCGGTGACCACGAGCACTGGGTGCCAGTTAAACTCGAGCGCGGACCCGTCCCAGCCGAGACCCTCTCGGTAGTGGAGGACCCAGATGAGGGTGAAGAGCACCGACAGAAAGCCGACGAGCAGCGCCGACACCAGCAGCCCCAAGAAGCCCCTGTAGCCGTCCATGGCGATCAGAGTCCCCAAACCCGCGCCGCGCAGGCAGCAGAACTCGGCACTGGCCCCGCGGCGAACGCGGGCGTCGATTTCCCGGAGCTGTCTCCGCCCGGGAGGAGGGGCTTTCTCGCCGGCCAGCCGCGGACTTCGGGCCTCCAGGCGGTGGGCGGCTGGCCTTCACTCAGAAACCCGCCCCACCCGCGTCTCGTGGCGGCCAAGAGCTCGGGCTGCGCGGCAGGCGCCCCCTGGCTCAGCATCCCGGCTTGCAGAGGCTCTGCAGAGTAACTGACCCAGTTTGTTGTCAGACCGAGAGCTCCGAGGATTCTATGCCCACCACTTTCTTTTAGCTCTTTCCTTACCCTTTCCTTCTTTGTGGAGAGACTGAGAAAAGTTGTGGTGCGCACTTGCGGTTAACAGAAGAGAGGGTGGAGTTGTGTGTATAATTTTGGTTAAAAAAGCCTCCTGAGCTCCGCCCTAGGGAAGTGGCTGTCTTTGACGCCAAAGAGGAACCGGTGGCACGGTGTGGGCTTGGCCAGGAAGGTACTTGGAGTTTGCACTTTGAGAGAGGAAAGGCAGACACCTCCTGGGCTCTGGACTTACCTTAAACAGTGCGATTAAAAAATAAAAAAGGATCTTATTTACCCCATAATGGGTTAACATCTGAAATATATAAAGAGTTCATACACCTCAACACTAAAAAAGCCAAAAGCCCGATTATAAAATGGGCAGAGGACCTGAACTGACATTTCTCCAAAAAGATTCAGATGGCCAAGAGGCACATGTAAAGATGCGCCACGTCACTAATCACTACGGAAATGCAAATCAAAGCCACAATGAGATATCACCTCACACCAGTCAGAATGACCAATATCCAATAGACAAGAAATAAGTATTGGTGAGGATGTAGAGAAATGGGAACCCTCCCACACTGTTGGTGGGAATGTATATTGGTAATCTCTGTGGAAAGCAGTATGGAGGTTCTTTAAATAACTATAAATAGAAATACCATTCAACCCAGTAATTCCACTTCTAGGAATTTATCTGAAGAAAACAAAAGCCCTAATTCGAAAAGATACATGCACCCCTGTTTATCCCCACATTAGTGACAATAGCCAAGATATGGAATCAACCTAAGTGTCCATCAATAGATGAATGGATAAAGAAGATGTGGTACATATACACAATGGAATAGTATCCAACTATTTAAAAAAATCCTGCCATTTGCAACAACACAGATGGATCTAGAGGGTATTATGCTCAGTGAAATAAAGCAAACTGAGAAAAGTAAATATCATATGATTTTACATATTTGTGGAATATAAAAACGAAGCAAAACAGAATGAACAAAAAACAACAGTAGACTCAGACGCTGAGAGGAGACTGGTGGTTACTATGCTGGAGGGGTTGGGGTGGGCGGCTGGGGACATTGAGGGGGATAAAGGGGTACTAAAATTCTCAATCATAATGTGGGTTGGTCATGGAGATATAGTCAGTGATTCTGTAACATCTTCCTTTGTTGACAGATAGTTACTGTACTAGCAGTAGTGGAGGGGAGGATTTAATAATATGGTAACTGTTGAACCAATGTATTGTATACTTGAAACTAATAAAGGATTGTATATCAACTATACTTCAATTTTATAAAATGGATCTTAACCTATTTGGACCAAAGCTCCACCTTGATGAAGTGAAATCTCACTCCTTTACCTCTTTCCAACATTATTATCACCCACTCCATTAGAAGGAAAAAGCATGGTGTTAACTATTGTAGTTAAAGAAAATGGGGCTTTGGCTGTTAGAGTTTCTAGAATGCATTTATCATGTACCCTCTCCTGTAGCTCAGCTCCAAAGACTAGTCTATCATGTTATTATTGTCTTGTTGCCATTTTGAAAGACCTTAGAATGTGCAGGAAGGATATGGGAGTAGTTTTCAACAAAAAAGATAGGTTTTAAGCCAAGGAAGTAGGAGTGTCAAGCCCTGGTAGTAGGACTGGGGGCTAAAAATAGGAGGCTGAGGTCTTCACCCTTGTCATTCATTATTTTTCCCTTGGTGGAGACAGAAAGAGGGGGAGAGTAAGCAATGAAAAAGGAGGACAACTCCTTGCAGTGCAAGGTTTTCTATGGTTTGGCCCAGCCTAGTCCTCCATGCTAATGTTTAGCACAACCTGACTGGCCTTGATGTAAACCTGCTTTAGCTTCTCTCCCAGCTTCTGACTACTCCCTACCCACATTCCTGCCTCTGAATCTGCCTGACCCCACCTCCCCTGTGAAACCTGCCCTGAGTCTGCCCATGCACCTGTTTTACACCTCCATCCACCTCCCCACCCAGTACCTCTCTGCATCACTCATCACGGAGTGACATGACCATCTGGTTCCTGTGTCTGTAGTCACTCCTCAGACTGTCCTCTGGAAGAATACACATTAGCTGGCTAATTTATCATTTTACATTTCCTCAGCATATAGTAGTAACTCGGTATATATTTATTGGGAGATGAATGGGACTGAGTGTCAGTCAGGGTTCTGGGAAGCAACAAATGCCACATCCAGCTGAGCAATTTAATAATGAACAGGACTGGTTACAAAATTGTGGGCAGGGTGTGGGAAACCACAAAGATTTTGCATTGCTCAGGCCTGAAGGGGAAGGGGTTCCTGGAATCCAGAGAGAGAGAGAGAGAGAGAGAGAGACAGACAGACAGAGACTGTGTGGAGAGGGCAGTCTGACTGGGGCTGTGGGCTTGAGTTCAGGGATGTAGCCAGCCTGCAGGAACTCACAGGGAGGAAAAATGGGAGTTGGGGATGAATGTTCTAGCCTTACCCTCAACTCCTATCCAATCTCCTGCCTAGGGTCTCAAATGGCTGAACCTAATCAGAATCTAGAAGGTAGTACTTATATAAGTCAGCTTCCCAGAATACAGCAGAATGAAGGGTGAGAGTAGACCAAAAGGAATAAACAGAAACTCACTGAATCTTCCAGTTTTATTTTTCAGACATTTTTGGTTCCTGAGTGCTGCAAACATTCTGTTTAATTCTATGCTGTTTCTCTTCCTCTGTGACCTTTGCCTAGTAATTCTTTAACAACAGTGTCATTGTGTCCCCATTCTTCTCCCTAAAAGTATCTAATCCTTGTCCCCAGTTGACTTCTTCACCCCTTAACACAATACCTTCACTCCACTCCTGAACTGATTTTGCTTCACAGGAGCAGCAAAAACAATATTCCACATCTCAGACTCCATTTAACAAAACAAGTCGGCAGAATGGAAACATGGCCTAATGGTATGTATGTTGTTGAATCATCTTGAAGTTGCAAGCTAAATTGAGAGAATTTCAACTTTTAAGTTGTCCTAGTCAAAAGTTCAGAAATAACAGAAGTAAAACCAATGAATCACTAGTCTTGCAAAATGAGCTAAATTAAGCTTTGCTTGTATGATTAAATTGGTATTGTTTGCTCAGGGGATTTTCAAGGCTGCTCTCATTTGTTTTTGATTTTAACATCCTTTAAGGACCTAGCTTTGATAAAATTTGTCACGTGAAAGAGGAAAATTTTTAATACTGTGTGGCTTAGTATTAGCCAACTTTCTTTAACAGAGTTGTTCAGTAATACAAGTTTTCCTCAGGATGGTAAACAATTTGTCACCCAAGTACTTATGCAGACTAGATAACCTGTCAGCAATGCTATCAGAGTGATTCCTGGCATGCGGTTGTGGTGGCAGTAGGTGCAGGGGGTGGGCGGCAGATGATGGGGCATGGGGCAGGGCATTGAACAAGATAGCTTTCCTAAAGCCCATGATTCTAGAAACATGGGCACACATTTTTATTGTCCTTCGCTGATACAGAATTCAGAGTAAGGAGATAGACAGGGTATAAAGGGATGGGGTGGGGAAATCCAACTCCGCCTATCATGAGATTAGGAACAGGTGCCCTCTATGCCATTTATCTATCGAAATTGCACAAATTAATTTTGCTTTTTTTGGGTGCATACTGTATTCTAGTGTAAAGTGTAAGTTGCACATAATGGTTTGCTTTGTGGGGTAAGTGGATTATTTTTTTAAATTTCAAATATTGGCTGTGTGTTGGTTGACTGTTCGCTCCTCCATCTCCAGCCTTTGTTGCCTGACCTTGCGCCCTGGCAGGCTCCTTGTCTGTGCTTCCAGTCGGCTTTAGGTGATGGACCAGAGAAGGAAGGGAGCGAGGCAGACTTATTCTTCCCTCTGCATTTTCTTGCCAGGCGATGCTTTTTGCAGTGGTTGCATTCCTTTGCACAATGACTTTTGAGTGGCCCCACTTCCGCTGCTAGAGCTCTCCCAGTGTCCAGTAACACCATGCCCCCTTGTTTCTACAAGCCTACTCTTGCTTGTCCCTGGTCTTTGCTGTTCCTTGTTGGGTTCTCTTAAGTCATAATCCCTTTATTAAGCTCTCTTTAATTAAATCCTTTGTGTATACTAGATGGTTCCTGCAGGACCCTGACAGACACAAGGAGAAAAATACTCTCATCTAACACTACTATTTTCCTAGCCCTGCCTAACTGTCTAGGCCTTCTTGGAATATATGAAGCAAGAAAAAATCACAAGCTGGAGGAATGAGCTCACACATCTTCCTCCTCGCTTCTATTAGACAAAAGATTTGGGGACCAGAAAACTGTCTCAGATAACTAAGATAGAGCAACTCACAGCTTATACTGACATGATGTAAGCCAAGCTCAAGCAGAGGTCAGAGGCCATTTAATGAAATAAAGCAAGGGTTACAGTTTTGAAAAGAACACAGTCAAACCCACATTAATGGGAGGGATGTACTCTCCTCATATGAAGCTAGACTGTTGTTTTGTTGGGGAAAGCCAAATGTCTGCTTTGCTGAGGTGTTTCTCCTTTGGAGGAACTGCAGCGCTTAGCCCCGGCTCTGGATATGGGGAGGCTGGCCATGGAAATAGCCTTTACTGCCTTCCTCCCAGGAGCCTCTTTGTCCACCTGCCCCAGTATGGCAGGGCTGGAGCAAGGAAAGATTTCATCTGTCTTTGGCCACAGCTGGAGGAATCCCAGTTTGGGAAGAGGCAGGGGGTAAGTTTTTTGCCGAGGCAGCAGACAGACACCAGACTGGGAAGTAGCCACAAGGAGAGAGGAAGACGTGTGGGGAGAAGAGGGAGTGAGAAGTGCGCCTGGAGAGGCACTCAAGCAAAAGGCCTAACTCAGGAGAGCCCTTCCCCAGGCTACCTGGGCATGTTCCTTCTGTTCCTGCTGTACCACACAGCTTTGTAAGGTCTACCTGACCCTAGTTTAAAAATTGCTTTGTCATCATTCCTTATGAGTTTGGTGAGGCAGGAAGCACTTAGGAAAGAGA